TGTGACAGCCTTGGCTGTCGGGAACCCGTGTCACGTCACAGACGCTAAGTGAGGGCTGAATTTCATATCTTGTTATACATTCATTTCACCTTCCATGGGGCTTCGTTGTGGTTTTGCTACAATGTTTAAGTGAGTGCAAATACACTGGAGGGTACACTTCAAACGTCTTCCCCGTATCGTGTCAAGATAAAGGTAGTTCGCTTGGCAGACAGACACGAGACGCTGTTGACATCAGTTCGGACAATATCGAACACTAGAGCTACTCGCACGCAAATGGATGTCTGTCGGTCACTTTTAGATACTTACGAATGATTTTGCTAAAACGCTTGCTATGGGGCCACCTTTTTAGAAGAGGTTTTCTGAGAGAAACAATCACGACAGACATGCTCTGAACAGAAATAAGAAAATAATAATAGGGCGACACATTATTGCGATGCGGCGTGTCTACTCAATCGCAGGATGCCGAAAATTGGAATTTCGCCAGCGCATGCACCGTGAACTCATGTAGTGGCTTATGTAAGGATGTTCCGCGTAAATTTAGTCGTGTATGAACAACGTTCTCTGAAGGTTAACTGCTTTAAACTATATTAAAAAGCTCTTTGCGTAAATATTACGCTTGTATATTAATTGAACACGTAGGCTAAACACACAGAACTGAGAAATTGGTCAAGTTTTGAACAACTTGCAAGTTTTGTTGCCTTTGTTGCACACGTCGTCCGTAATTTCTTTTATAGTATTTCTGATTTGTGGCTGCAAAAACTAAAAATAATGAAGAATTGATATAGTGGCTGCATTATTATCCGACCGTCAAAAGGGGAGAAATGGCATTCTGTAGATAGCATACCGAGGAAGATATTATTAAAGCGCGCATAGACTGAATCGAAGCGCGAAGGAGCTAAAAAAAGAGGCGATGTAAGCACTTCTCCGTAGGCAGGGACGCCCAGTTTATTTCTTCCAGAGCATCGTGCCTCGACAGCACAGGCGCCTCTGTCTCCCGGTAAACATACAGGTACGAATCTTGGGGCTGTGCACCGCAGACGCTTCCTCATATGCTGGACATTCGGGAAGCTTTTGTGGCCAGCCGAGGAGCGACGCGGTCGTTGCAGAATGGGGTCAAGAACGTGCGTTCAACCGCTCTCTTTTCTCGGCTGCCAAAACCGGGTCGTGGTCGCACAGCGCTAACCATGAATGAAGATTCAGATGTGACAAGTGGCGAAACGGCGCGTGGCCACAACGTGTATTGCCAGACCTCCATGGCTGCGCTGTTCCCTCACTTTGAGCCCGAGGCAACGAATATAGGGCAAAAAACCTTCATTTTAGAAGGTTTTTACTCACTCTTTAACTGGTATTTCGAGGTTTAAGACTACAATAATTATTTTGGCTCTGAAATAAATTTAAGTTCAAAAGTTAGCTATGATCGTCGATGACACGCTCTGCATGGTATAATATTTACTTTTCACAATTATACAAAATAACAAGCGTAGATTGTATAACGTCCTGAAACCACGATAAGATAATGAAAGATGCCGCAGTGGAGTTTTCCGGAAATATCGGCCATCTGGTCTACATTAACCTGCAACTAAATCTAAGCAAACGAGCCTCCAGCATTTCGCCTCCATTTAAATGCGGTCACCGTGGTTGGAATACGATCCCGCGACCTTCGAGTCAGCACCGAGCACCATATACTACAGTGGCGGATATTACGTTTTACAAAGAGGCGCTGTTATTATCTACAAGAGCCACCCATTTGTCAAAGTTGACGACGTCTCTGGTTTGGTGTCAGTGACCACATGTGTGCACTGAGAAACAGGTACATGTAGCCTATGTCAAAGAACCCAATGGTAGTTATGTTACGTAATAATAATAATAATAATAATAATAATAATAATAATAATAATAATAATAATAATAATAATAATAATAATAATAATAATAATAATAATAATAATAATAATAATAATAATAAAGCCAAAGCGGAGGCTGCAGTGGGGTTCCAGCGAAAATGTGTCAGAGAGGGGATCGAAAAGCACCATCGGCAACCTAAGATGAACCGTCTATTTGAGTCGAGCTTCATCTGGGGATGATGTACACATATAAAGAAGTTGTGCAAATCATGACATGTTCAGATGACGAAAGGTCACTGAGGGCGCTCACAGCATGGATAACAGATTTGGTGCCAAAAATACAACCACAGATACATCAATAATAAGACCTGCGCCACGCATCCTTTCTGTTGTGGTGGTTTTGGCGCCAAATGTATTACTGTTACAATTTCACATGCACAACAGCAAATACAACTAAGGAGCCCAATGTTACTCAAGTTATGTGGGAGCGCATCAGCCTTTTTGCTACGCCGTGTTTTGTATTCGATAATTTTTCCCTGTTTCATACTCAGTTATTTATTTCAGTTGATCCTTAGTATCCGGTGAATGGCTTACAAGAGGTCTAATGCGAGAGTTTAAGATTAGTTCTAGCGATGGGCCAGACACTGCGACGTGGCTGCCTGAAGATCAAATCCTTTGACAGCCGAGATTTCAAAAACTATTCACAGTTTCAAATGCAGATGTAGTCGTTCTTCCAGATTTCGTGCTAATTGGTGGAGTCAGTTCTTTTTTTTTGAGGTACATAAAGGACGGCCGCACCATACAGCGACTTTTTTTCAATATCCGTCCAATAGAGCCGCAAAGCTATTGCTAGGCCTAACCTAGAACGTTGTAATATCTTTGGTTCAATGAGCAGAAGATTATTCTCAACCAACTGAGATAATAAATCAATAAAACACACAAAAAATCTACCAAGACAATTGTGAGATCAACCGGATCACACAAGGTTAATGTGTTTCTGAACAGTAGAGAGAACCGCGAAAAAAAAAAAAGAGCAGCGCTAGGAAAACCTGTTAGTGGCCAAATGTGTCGTGATACGAATGTTCAGTAGAGCGGCAAAGGAACGAGTATTATGAAAACACGTACGTCTGCATGTTTTTGCGCTGTTTGTGCGATACCTTTGTTGCACGTACACACAAAAAACATTGTCTCAAGCAGCCATCTACTCCGTTGAAATGCTTGTAATGCATCAGACACATGACGCTGAATATCTTCTTAAGCGTGAAGCTTGTTTACATCACTGTTATAACCGAATAGACTGACTGAAATCAAACAGCCAGAACAAACGAGTTATTTTCAAAATGTTAACTACGTGCTCATGGGATAACAAGTCTTACAAATAAATTCCCTATTTTGTCAGCGCCACTGGCGAGTACAACGACGGTACGCTTCGGCAAGTGGAACATCTACCAGTGAGTGCCGAAAAAAACTAGCTGTAAGGAGACTTACGCGAAACATTGCATCTTTTTTATAGCGTGTAAAGGTGCTCCAAAATGACCCTATGATTTATGTTTCTACTGAATGACGATTACTGTCACCCACTGCGTTCGAATCCATGCCTTTCCACAGAAAAAAATTGCTTCCACAATTGACGGAGTGGTGAGCTTTTTCCGTCGTGTATATGCGGGCAGGACGCAATCTTCGGCTTAAACTGTCTCTGAAAGATGAAAGATGTATAAGTTGATAGGCATAACGCAGAGATGGGCAATCAATTGGAACGTTTTTCATTCCAGCAGACCTCATTCTGCTGGACCATGTAAACAAACCATAATGCCAGCTGAGGTACGCTCCACCACCAACAAAAACACGAAGGGAACTGTGAGAAATGAAATTACTAACCCTACAGGCTGCATAGAAGAAGCCGCTAAACGTCCTATTTCATACCTGTAGAATCAGAACACTGGATGGCACCAAGAGTTCTGTAACTGGTTTGTAGCGGGTGGTTTGTTGGCATTTGGTAATAAGACATTGCACAGTGTGTGTTGTGAAATGCGAGTAAAAGGACTGCAAGGAACGTTTTTATCTAACGCTTTCCGTAAGTTCTACTTATACAACGGTTATCGCCTCAAGAGAAAATGTTATCAGCTGCGCAGTTATGAACACGAATGCACAAGCAAACGAAACTGCTAAAAGGATAGGTTTTCGCATAAATTGACGGATGGGAGAAGCAGCCATCTCACAAATGTGCACATGGAGGGCGAGACCGGTTTTTGAACGCAGCACATTACACGTGGTGGGCAAAAACGGCTCAAAAGAAGTTCCGTTAGCGCTGAGGGACCTGGTTTCTCGAAGAAGCAGCGGCAGGAATGCAGCGCACGTCTGATGCGGCTACGCCCGTAACCAGTTTGACTGGCCAAGGGGCCGTTTTCCTTCTTCGGAGTGGGTCGCCGCGACCGAGGAAGCGCCTTTAGAAGCTGGGACATTCGTGTGCCGCCGGCGGAAAACAAGGTCTGCGCTACAGTTGCGTAACTGGAATGCGCGAAAGTAGAGCGCTCTCGTTCGCACCTAAACTGAAATGGACCTTCGAGACGCTCTTCCTTTCAAAGGTCCGCCATGCGCGTCCATGCGCGCATTTGCGAGGACATTCGGGGAGTGCGTCTCATCGAAACCGCGTGAAAAGCGAAACTATTCCATGGAGGCACAAGTTGTGCGTAAGAAAAAAAGTGCAGCGTCGGTAGGAGATAAATGAGGTCGTTCTAATGTGCCGATTAAGAAATCGCTGTCACGTGGCCTACCCAGCAATTGGCCTGCGGCTTTCGCTAGCAAAGTTGTTGCTGCCAAAATGCATGCGTTCGTACAGTAGCGATAACTGAGTATGTGACGCGTCCAGTACGCATGGCTGCACTATAATTCTTAAATGCGCGCGGGTCAAAGAAACCCCTATCAAAGAAAACGTTTCGGCAACGTAGGAGCCTTGTTCGTGAACAGGGCTCCCATGTGGAGGCCGGAACGTTAGACTTGGTGTCTGTCGATGTTGTCGTCACTATTGAGGTTGCAAAAAATGAATTTAAAAAAATTAAGAATGACATCCTTGTTTTGACGTGTGTGCTTTCGAAAGGCCGCCGCCGGCTACGTGCGCCGCCAAGAGAGCTCGCTAGTGAAATGTGGGTCGCTCACCGGTGCCGACGAGGAGCAGCAACAGGAGCAGCGGCGATCCCATGTTCGCGGCCCCACCGAGTGAAATAATCTCGCTCTTCACAGGCCCAGACTTTCCTTTTGAGCCGGCGCCATGTTACGTCCGGTGCGCTCATTGGCTGTCGAGAAGAACGCGCATGCGCTCTGCTTGCCGTCCCATCCTCTCCTCGACCCCGGTCGGCTCTTTCGTTTTCTTGCTTACTGATGGCCGGGATTTTCACGTACGTGCAGTGACGCTCTTTCGGTAAGGAAATATGCTTTCCTCTCGTGTGGCACAAGCTCTCCTAATAGAACCAGCCCACCACAATGAGCAAAAATACCACTGCTCTAAGGACGGCTCTCGACGGTCGACGCACTCAATTTATGTGCCACGAGTAACGCCTGTTTGCGACTGCCACGTTGCTCGGGAGCTGATGGCATAATTCCAAACATAGGCAATGCTATATTTCATGGCTACCATACCGGATCGAGTCCTATACAATCTGAGTGCGCTAATTTAGACTTTGCATTCCCACTGAGCTGTTTGTGGTAACAAAATAATCGGACACAATATTCCTTGCTTGCTTGCGCACGTACACTATATCATTCATCGAAATAACACTCAGCGCTCTTAATAGACTATTGTAGATCAAGGCCTAATTTGAGGAAATTTTTGTTATCATAAGCAGCTTGATTGCTTCCGTTCACGAGGTGTTGGTAAGCGCAACCGACAGGGTCATTTAAAAATTAGATTTACTCGTACTCCCTTTATTTCTAGAGGCATGGAGCATATCAAGGCTACTTAGGCAGTATAAATGATGGTAAATACATCCTCAACAGTTGGTCTACCCAGCGTTCTAACTGTAAAGCGCATGAATGCTGAGCTTCCCATACTCTCGTTCTAAGCTTTCTTCACCCGCACTACGCTCATGCCAACTGTGTCAAATCTTCGGCATCCAGCTGCAGATTGACGGCTAATTTTATCCCGCATACTATTAAGCTTAATAAACCATCAAAACAGGGGTTTAAGGCATTCCACATCGTCAACGCATCGCCAGCCGATGAGGTCGAATGAAAAAAAACTTGTGGCCTTTGTAGGCTCGCAGCGTCGAAATGCGCAAGACACTTTAATAATAATGACAGAAGATAGTCAACATGTTATGTGCTGCGTGAAGTCAAACCAAGAACTCACTGACTTTGCCACTAATGTTGTTTGTGAGGGTGGTAAGCAAGTAAGAAGTTGCATCAGAAAGAACTCCAGGGTTCCACCATGTTGCTATGCAAGCAGTGGCGTCAATGCAGATTATTCACAAGGGGAAGACAGATCTTGTCGAGGCGGATATTTTGCTTTTGTATGTAAGATTTTATTTGTATGAAAAATAAATCATACTTTTCAAAACCTAATGAAAAAGCGAGCAAGGGCTTCAGAACCAGGTAGGGGAGCTTAACACCACTAAGCATCACTAAGAACTACTAACATCACGAAGCAGCCAATAGAAGTAAGGTACGCTGGTGTACCGAGTTTGTAAGTGTGGCTTGTAAGTGGGCTCCAGTAAATTTCTGATTGATGTACCACTCGGGTTAAATGATCAAGTGAAGAGTCTAGCACTAACTTGTTATTACGCAAGGATGTGAAGTATTCATTTAGTTTGAGCTCAAGATTAGTTCCCCATCTTCTATACCTGTTAGAAATAGCCCCCCACAATAATTGCTTTTAATGGGGCCCTGAAACACTTTTTCAACTAACCATGAAATGAATTAACTAATGAGCTAATTGCCTCACAAACTCTATGACACGATAATTTTAGGAGTCCGTCCAGTACGAGCGGAGTTACAAATATTTGTCACACGCCGCAGTTGCATTCTTTCTTTTCACGTTCCAACAAAAATGCTGGAAGCTAAGCAGGGAGGGGGGGGGGGTGGAATTGGCAAAAAAGAAAAGACACGTCACGCACGCCTCGAAACCTTGAGCACTTTTTTTTTCTACGAGTACGCGGCTTGGGTGATCGTGCGCGCACGCTTGGACAAGTCGAGGCCTCCCACGGTGATCCCTGTAATGAGACAGCCCGCCATGTTCAAATCAGCCGATGGCTGATTGAAGGCCTTTACGAGTGATTTGGAGCTTCCTTCGTCATTTGTCACGAGAAGAGAAAGGAAATTTCAGCTGACTTCGATAAATTATTCTGAATGGCCGGCAGCGTGCTGCGCTTTAATATTTGGCTCGCGGGTACTCGGGAGCATTTACTACTGATTGGTAAGGTTTTCTGACCGTGCTCAAAATTGTGGAAGGGCCCCTTTAAAGCATGTCTGTGCTTTCTGGTGATATAAAAAAATCACTTATAGTCCAGCAATCGGATTCATACTTCCTCATATATGGCCTCAAAGAAACCGTCGACACGAACGGATAATTGTAGAAAGTCAGGAATTACTAATTTTCTTGGCTTTTTATTGTAAAGCAAAGTGAACTTTTGCGGCAGCAACCCTAACGCAGCAGTAACCCGTAGCGTTTTGCCACAGTAACGCCAGAAGTAATCCGTAACACTCATTCAGAAAGTTCCGGCTTCAGAAAGTTCGGACGATGAAGTGATTCTGGCTTAGAGCACCGCTGTCAGTATCTTTAAATTTTCAAAGTTTTTTTGTGGCTTTGTCAAAGACACCGTTCTAGTGACTGTGGCGATGGACATTGATTCGCCTGGGCTTCCACCGCAACCATCGACGTCGTCTGCAGCTACCACGAGAAAGCGTATGGGCCACCCGAGTGATGCCGACAGCGACGACACGCTGATTTCCTCTACGGCCAGTGACGACAGCTCCGATGAAGGCGACTTTGTGCCTGTTACAAGGCGGCAGCCAAAAAGAAGACTAGTGATGCCGTCTCCATAAACAAGCAACAATGCGACGAAGATGCGAGAGCCTACGATATACACAATTCTGTTTTTGCCGGTCGATGCGGCTCATAGACTCAACCGGCTCAATCGTCAAGCCACGTCTAGGTCTCTTGAGGGACTCGCCAAGAGACTGATCACGGACGTGCGGATCAATGGCCGTAAGAATATCCTCACCGTAGACGTCCCTCAACGAATCACATTAGAAGTGTTGAGCAACATCAAGATGTTGGATAACATCAAAGTTCGCTTATACATACCTGATGGCCACGACTCTACTGCAGGCGTCATTTACGATGTCGACATTTCCAACAGCGAAAGCGACTTTGCTGCTCTCATCAAACCGGTGCCTGCAGAACTTACCATACTGCAAGCTTGTCGCCTTAGTAAATCATGCTGCGTGAAGCTCGTGTTCAAGGGAGACAGCCTTCCATCGCAAGTCAAGGTCGGCCACATTCGACACTCAGTGCAACCATTCGTACCGAAGCCCCTTCAATGCAGGAAATGTTATAGATTGGGACATGTCAGTGCTGTTTGTTGTGTGCCCGGCTTCAGAGAGCGGCTACACTAGCGACAAAGTACCTGGAAGAACGGGGACTAGAGCTGTCATCAGAGAAGTGCTCGCTTAAAACATTCACGCATAAGGCGATGAGCCCATATGTTATTAACATCAACGGACACACGATCAACTACGTGAAGACCCACCGATTTCTCGGAGTCATAGTTGACCGCGACCCCTCCTGGAGCTCTCACATCGCCCACATGAAAACTAAACTCACCATGATCCCCCACGTGCTGAGGTTTCTTGCCGGAAAAACGTTGGGTGCATCAGTACGAGCAATGATTCAACTCTACACTGTTCTGTTCCTCGATTATATACGATACAGCTTACCCGTGCTTTTCGGGATCCGAAGAACAAACTTGCGCGTCCTCCAGTCGATCCAAGCCCAAGAACTGAGAATATGCCTTGGTCTCCCGAGATGCGCGTCTACAGCAGCGACAGTCATCATTGCGCGTGATTATCCAGTGAACGCATACATCCGCGTAGACGCTTTGCGAATGCACATAAGACATTTCGCTCGGCTTCCATCTCATCACCTCGCCTCACTTCGAACTTCTAGGCCCCACTCAGCGTTCAGCGCAACTGTAGCTACACATTGCGCAGTGCTTCCATTGCACTTCACGCATGCAGCACGGCCACCAATACCATTATGGTGCCTACATTAATTTAAAGCACTTCTTACAATTCCTGGCATCCAAAATAAGATAAAGTCGTCGCATCTAGCCCTAAACAGGCCACACTACTCTTCCTACAAGAGAAGCACAACGGACGCCTTCACATTTACATGGATGGCTCGGTGTCTTCAGTAAGCTCAGCAGGGGCTGTGGTTATACCCGCGAGGCACGTCACAATTAAATTCATGACATTGCATTAGACGTTGCCGACAGCTGCAGAATTCGCCGCCATACGTGCAGCTCTGGAGTTCATAGTTGGAGAACCTTCGGCAACTTGATCTATCTTCTCGGACTCGAAGGCAGCTCTTCAATGTCTTGTTTCACCCTTTCGCCATGTACCTAATGAACAGTTAGTAGCTGAAATAAGACTTCTTCATCACCAAGCAATCGAGAAACAGCACAACATAGTGTATCAGTGGATACCAGGTCATTGCGGTATATATGGCAATTACCGTGCAGATGAGGCCACTAGATCTGCACATGACGGTACCCAATACACAGCCATCCCGTTCTCAAAAACCGACGCTGCTACAAGACTTCGTTCGCTTGCGCGTGACCTCAAATTAGTACAGAGGAACTCAACAGACTTCACAAACGCGCGCCTGCATAACTTGGATCCCGATCTGCAGCTTCGTCTTCCCTCAAGGATATCTTGAGCTGAGGAGACTCGTCTATGCCCATGCGGCTTGGAGTGACCTTCACGAACGCATACTCTTATCTCATTGGAATGGCCAGCTCTTCTACATGCACTTACTGCAGCTGTGAAGAAACCATTGCGCACCATCTGTGTGAGTGCACCATTTCAATGCGCAAAGACAAGAACTGACTGCAGCTCTGGATAGACTTGATGATGGGCCTTTGTCGGAACAAAGGATTCTGGGTCATTGGCAGAGTCCATCCTCAGCCCAGGAGGCTTTGAAAGCTTTGCTGCGCTTTTTGCGGACAACTGGCCTCAGAGATAGACTTCAGTGTATTATACTCTTTGACTTTGCCTTTACTCTGTGGCAATTTTTTGTA